TTTTTTTCCATATTTTTTTGTAAGCGGGTCCTTACCCCTAGTAATGTTAATGCATCAGTAGTATCAGTATTTGGGATGGCTTGCAGTGTATGCTATATATTATATACCATCAACAAGCCAGTGAATATTGCTTTATTCAAACTTTGAATGTTTCGCCTACTTTATATTTAACAAATGTAAAGGTACCGTAGACACAAAAGGCAGCTTGCGTTGTTGCATACGATGTTAAATGCAGATAAGTTGCATCGTTTGGCAGGGCCCGGTGTGGATTAGACCAAATAAAATATATTCATTTCATTTTTATATTTTATTTAAATCATTTGCCATGAGGATAAAATACTTTGGGTTCCAGTTATTAGAGTGGTAAATATGCTGTAGATCTAATGTGTTTGGCTAACACGTTTGGGACGACATCCACAACGTTTATCTTGTGCTTTGATCTATTTACTTTGTTTTAATCACTTTCTAGGCACACCCTCGATTGATGTTCCACCCGTAAACATGTCAGTACTTACTGGTGCAAATGTGTCATTTTACTGTCGAGCGCTTGGACACCCAAACCCCACGATTACCTGGAAAAGAAACTCTAAAGTTGTCCAAACAAAATCTGGTGCCGGCAATGTAGTTGAAGACAAGTTAACCCTAGTAGATGTAAAGATGTCAGATGCTAGCATGATAACATGCGAAGCTAGTAATGAATATGGAACCGCATCGAAATCTTCCTTCCTGATTGTAGATGGAATGTCGGGTAAGAAAATATGTACTTATACTACATGTATATTCCATGTACACTTAGTCTCTCTTCGTTGGGATGAAAAGCAAACTAAAGGTTCATTACCATGGATTTATGAATTGCTGATCATACGAGTTGAACGCTTCTTCGCTAAAGTGAGGTTCAAGCCAAAAGTGTGGTTAGTTGAAAAATGCATTGCCTACTAAGCGATAGGTTCTTAGCTCGGTTATCCGTGCTTAAGGTGGCTCCATATAGTTTTTGTACGCGCGCGCCCCAGGTTGTGCACGAGCATGCGCAGTACCAGAACTTGAATAATTTTTATTTTGATGACGTCACGAAATGTCGGTGGCATGCGTTATTTAAAAAAATAAAAACTCGAAAACTGCGTGGTCAAATATCTTTAAATTTCTACAGTTTTTTCTTCGTAGAATGATAGGGCGATTTACAATATACATAAAAAAATTGGACTCCAGAAAACTTTTTATCTTGAAAAATCGATACAGTGGAACCCCGCCCTACGGCCACCCGCTTAATACGGCCACCCCGTTATTGCGGTCAGCTCTTTTGGGTCCCAACGAAATACCCATACATTTACAGTAAAATGTACCCGCTTAATATGGCCACCCGTTAATACGGCCAACGGCCACTTTTTTGTGGCCCGATTGACAAACTTCCATACTTTTTAACCCCGTATTACGGCCAGGACAAATAGGTTACAGTTTAGATCTTAAATACCCTGCGAGCAGAGTCTCATTTTAACTCCTCTACGGGCGAGGGAAGGAAAGGAGACTCTGCAGAAATCGTGTAGAATGATCTTTCGCCCGTAGAGGAGTTAAAAGGAGACTGATCGCAGGGTAGATCTTAATGTAAATACTTTAAAGTTATTGCTGCAAAATCTGTGATTCTTCTTTTCATTCGGTTTAACATTCTACAGTAATGCTTTTTGTAGAATCAGAATCAACACAACAACTTCAAACAGAGAAACACATACAGCGCGATGCGCTTAAGTATGTCCGCATTTATTTTAAAGCGTTACAGTATTAAAACGAGCCATGCCGATAGCCTGTCTGGGGTGATGTCCAGCCTCGAGTCAGTATGGCTTCAAAGGAAGCTTCATTCGTCTGTACAGAGCTGTACAAGATATAGATCTGTATTTGCTATAAAATAATTTCTAGTTCTATTACTCTAAAGCCCGAAACTATATGAAACCACCTCAAACTTCTGTCTAATCTGCGACAGAGCACTGATGGAGAGAGGGAGTGAAGTGCTAAAAATACTAGCCTATGAAGCACTGGTGGCGCAAATAGACCAGCTACCGCTGTGTTCCTTGATTACAGACTCATTCGCACAGGGTTAGCCTCGTTTCAGTATTTAAATGTTCACAAATACCAACGATACAAACACTTTGAAACTCGACGGACCTTGATTAGAACACGTGAATGTTCTGCACAAACTCGAGGCTAACCCTGTGTAAATGACTCTGTAGTAAAGAAACAGCGGTAATTTTGGAAAACGAAAATGGTCTATTTACTTTTGTCTCATTTACTATATTTATTCTTTCTATCTATAGGAATAACAATGCTGTCCAGTGCTGCTGCAAAAAGTGAAGGACTTAGTACAGGTGCCGTGGTTGCTATCGTCGTCATTCTCTTGATAATACTTCTAGTCATTGTAGGCGTAGTGCTATATCGTTACTACAGTGGGAGAGCTGGCCCATCAACCGCGTTCAGATACGAGTTGGGTGATGATACCGGCAAACCCGACAGGCTTACAGCACTCAAATTTAAAATGAGAGGAGGGTCAAAAAATAGCCACGAACCAATGCAGATGTTTGATGATAGCAAACCGTTTGTCGATCATGATGGCTTATAACGTGTGGCTGGCAGCTGGGTTTTGAACTCTTGTTTTAATGTCGTCATAAATCGCGTTAGTCATACTTGCGTAAATAGGTAATGATACGCAATAAGTCTACTAACACCTTGAAATAATAACCGGGTTGTAACGATGCTTCGATTAGCCTTTTTAGTTTGCCAAAAATATTTTAATATCATTTTAAAGACTGTTTCAATTTAAAATTAGTTTGGAAATTAAAGAGTCAACACAAAAATACAAATGAAATGCAAAAATACAAATGAAATACAAAGAATTCACAATTTTGGAATTTGAGGTATTTTTTGTATTTTTATGTTAACCTCAGACTCCAGATAATTTTAAAACCATATCGAGCCGCACGTAAAGGCATTTTAATAAGTGATATTTGAAACTAATATCTAAATCGGTTTATGATGAGGGAGTATAGAGTAGAATAATATATAGAGATCCACCTCGAAAACAGATTTGATTCAAGGTGAAATTTTCTTGAAATCTGTAAATTCTTAGCTGGTAATTCGAAGTTTTTAAAAAGGCTTAAGAAGGATTTTTTTAAACAAATTCAAAAGTAGTTTTTTAGGGGTATTGTGGCTCTCGTCCATCAAACGTTGAATAATTGGTTTGATATAGAGAAGGCGCTTCAAAAGTCTCTTTCCAGAAAGCAATCTAACTGGAATTGGCAATCGTTATATTTCTAGAAAAATTACAAGCAAAATGCGGAATAAATATAAAACACTAGAAACAAGAGACATTTCGTAAAAACAGTTTTTCTTTTTCTTAAAGAAATAACAAACCTCAAAGGTAAAAGCGGTGGATTTTTCCCTTTCCTCCCCCAAAAAAACCCTCATTGTCGATAAAATATTAGGCAAAAAGAAAGATTCCTAGTAGATATCCGCTAGATCTTTCCTATTGTTGTAGATGTACTAAGGAAAAGAATTCATATTATTCCCTTAATTGTTTGATATTTATGAGGGAAGACTTAGTGTGTTGTTGCAGAAATATCTTAATGTATTATGTTTCATGGCTGCAAGCATCGCCAAGACAATAGAGTGATAAGAATACCTTTGTGCAGGCTCCTCTATTATGTACAGTCAATTCAAAAAACGTTGTCGTCGACCGGCTCAAGCCTACGCGACTGGACCGAAAGGAATATGGGTAAAAATCACTGAAGCGGTTAAATATTCGTTTTGAATTTATTGTTCCCGCTAGTAATAAGATAATATTGGCCAGAAACAATCCATCAAATGCATGCCTTCGGGTTTAGGGAAAGGAAAACAAAGTAGTTATGATTCAGTTCACAATTTCGAAAATATGAAGGCATTAAAACAAAGTCTCCTCCGACACTTCCCGCTCGCCTACGAAGGTTCGTGCTGTAAACCAGGCATAACTAGTCAGACAAAATGATGGAGTCAACTCGGCTTCAATGATTGCTACCCAGAGTTCCTTTCGGTCCAGTCGCGTAGGCTTGAATTGGTCGACGACAACATTTTTTGAATTGACTGTATAAGAAAGGTGTTCGTAGATGAAGTCGTATTACAATAACTAAAGTTGGTGCAATTGAAACTAAACGATTGGTGTTATTCACGTTGTGCATACTTTATGTCAACTGACTGTCTCGCTCATTCTTACTTATCCTTAAACGAGGCTAAGCCACGTGTTTACAAATGAGCACGCTGCAGTCGCTATACCACCTAAATAAAGGATTGTAAAACAAACCAAATACAGTAAAGACGAGTTAATCAGATCAACACCACACGCATCAGACTCTGTCTACAAATATATTGGTATAGAATGTTAGGTTTTAAACTTAGTTTTAATCCATTTTTTAATCTGAAAAACGGCCAGCTTAAAGTCGAATTTTACATGTGCCAAATCTCCCGATGTTTTGTTCATTTGCATCAGATAAAACGTGAAATTCGACGTTTAACGGGGCTAAGTAATTTTTAATATAAAATGTTTTTGTTAAGTTCCTTAAGTGTTAATAAAGTCAATATTGATGTTAAATGATCAGATACGTTTGATTCGTTTCGCTAGTATTTACAATTATCTAATGCAAGAACATTGGCAAGCCCAGTGAGAGTTCTTGAAAAACATCCTTTCAAAGCGAGGTTGCGAGAGATATTCCAGCACTAACACAAGTTCTTTCAGGGTACACTAATCAATCGCAAAATCATCGTCTGCATGGTTAAAAACAGAGAAAATAGGAGCTAAGACAAAAAGGTATGCTGGGAAATGACAACTGTATGATTTATTCACTTCTGAAAGCGCAGTCGATATTTTTCTCTTTATGTATATATAGCTCTTATTAACCGAGTGCGAGGTCCGTACCGTAAGTTATGGACCGAGCTTTTTCCACTGCCTTATGGCCCAAGCGCGTAGCGCGCGGGCCATTAAAAAGTGGAAAAAACGAGGATCCATAACTTACGGTACGGACCGAGCATACGAGGTTAATAAGATATTTATTATATGGCAAGGCATTGAGATCAAAAAGAGGCGAAGCAACAAAAAGTAAAGTTGACAGCGCATGTCAAACGAGAACTGCATTGGAAGGGCTTCCTGTACGTGCCAAAAGTCATGTAGTGTTTGAGTCGCTCAAATAGAGAATTTTTACTTTACTTTGAAAGAATTTAGCTAAAGTTTAAAGTTTTCTGAAATACTAGTTCAAACAAAAGTGAGGCTTTATTTTGCAAAACATATAAATGCAAAGCAAAAAAGGCATCAAAAGAAGACCGAGAGAACTCAACATGAGATTGAGAAGAAAACTGTCGTACTTCAAACTTCAAGATATTCACAACCAAGATGAAAAATACTACAGCCTTCCGCTTGTTTTCCTGCCTTTTATTGAGAAAAAACTCAAAAACTGTCTCCAGAAATGAATAAGAAGCTTTGGAAAATTACGGCTGGCTGAACATGGATAGTTTTCGTCAATTTTCAACGTTTTGACTGTTTGAAGCAGGCCACCATATGCACAATGGCTGACATGAAGACGGCACACTTTCGACTCAATTAAAAAAGGTACTGGCAACTCTCCTGTCTAAAAATACATTTAAATGCAAGTGGGGGTGAAATATTACTGAAATATGGACATACTTCAAGAGCGGATAAGCCTAGAAAACTGCTTAAAACGTTTACGAAAGAAGCTATACTGGCTCCTTCACACGATCGATTCAGATAAGTTCAAACTGGACGTTGTTAGCTCACTGAAATAACAAATTTACGTTAATTCTACTTGTAAACCTATCTTTATTTCATTTACTGAATTAGCCGCTGTTCACCACCCTTTAGTTCGTAGTTTGACATAGTTTTAGCTTTAGCATAGCTTTTCTAGTTTTTTCTAGTCGTACAAAATCGCTCAACTAGTGCCTTGTAGAACCTTGATCGAAAGAGTTTCGCTTGTATGAAAGAGTTGTCGCTTGTTTGATAAGTTTTACATTAAATGCCAGTGACTTTCAGTTATCTTTAATTATTTATTGAAGGTTTTCCGACGATTTTCATCCAGAAATATATATTTTTTGATAAAGATTTGAATGTTTTAAAAGATCATAAGTACGTACACTCAGTGAAACATTTCATTCTTCGGTCCGTACCGCAAATTGACCAATCATAGCGCGTGAAATTACCTTGCCATATATAAACATATTATTATTATATAATTACCAATGAAATATCTATTTTTCTCTATTTCGAAAAATTGATACCTTCACACGTCAAAATAACATGTTATTTTCACTTGTGAAAATAACACCATTGCGATGGCTCTTCAAAAATACACGGAAAGAATTGCCTGAAAAATCCAAAACATACTTTCATTGATAATTATATAATAAACAGAATATTACATGGGCGCTTGGAGATACGAAATTTATCTTCTCGTGTTGAAAATCTCTCACTCGTTCGCTGCGCTCACTTGTGAGAGAACACTCGAAGATAAATTTCGTATCTCCGCGCGCCCATGTAATATCCTCTATATATGTATATAAATTCAAACGCAAAAATTTACAATTTGTACAGCAGTATTGAATTATAAATATTCAAATGAGAAATAAACTATATAAAGTAAAGGCGCGATCACACGGAGCAATTTTCTCTGCTACCGGTGTCGCAACGGTCATAAAAAATGATATAGACTTCCTAGAATCACGAGGAGAAACCCGGAAGACCATCGTTTTCAATGTGGTGTATGTAACTATGTTGAATATACATCCTCCATCTCCAAACACGTGCAAGAACGGACTTTCTTTTCCTATGGGGTATATCCATGTAAAAAGAGTAGGGTTGATGATCTACGTCGAAAATAATAGAGTGAATTGTCCAGAACACATATAGCTTGCAAAGGTTAGGTCAGGGGCACTCCTAACAACCAGAGAACGAAGGTCAGGGGTACCCCCAACAACTAGGGAACCAAGGTCAGGGGCACCCCCAACAACCAGGAAACCAAGGTCAGGGGCACCCCCAACAACCAGGAAACCAAGGTCAGGGGCANAACCAAGGTCAGGGGCACCCCCAACAACCAGGAAACCAAGGTCAGGGGCACCCCCAACAACCAGGAAACCAAGGTCAGGGGCATCCCCAACAACCAGGAAACCAAGGTCAGGGGCACCCCCAACAACTAGGGATCCAAGGTCAGGGCACCCCCAACAACCAGGAAACCAAGGTCAGGGGCACCCCCAACAACCAGGAAACCAAGGTCAAGGGCACCCCCAACAACTAGGGATCCAAGGTCAGGGGCACCCCAAACAACTAGGAAACCAATATTAGGGGAACCCCATTAATCAGGAAACCAATGTTATGAGCACCTCAAGCAATCACTTTTGAAGCATTGAATTCCCATGCAAATACCTCGTAATATTTATTTTTTTTTACTTTATTTTGAAAACGATGCCGGGACATCGCAACAAGCACAATTTATTATATTTATTCAAGATTCTTATTTCCTCGGTTAACTGTGCAGTAAAAAAGAACACTTGCATTATGCTGTCATTAACTACAACTTCCAGAGTTTCCTGCACACTTACTTTTGTTCAATTAATTACCAGCAATTGTTTTACTATTCTCATGAGGGAATACAAACTTGTATATCAAGAACAAATCGCGAATTATTTTGGTAGTGGTAGAAAAATGGCGTATAATGCAAACGTCGCATTGATAAAGCAACTGGATTTGATCCTGAATGGCACCTCACGCAACTGACAAACTAATAGTTCTCAATCACTTCTTAGTGTGACATAGTGTTTCTATAGTATATAGTAGCCTATTGCATCTTTACACAACTATCCGTTGTAGTTTCGAGGTCCTGTAGTCTGCACGGAGCTGGATAAACTGATGAAGAACAGACTTGTCAAGAGATGCCTAGGGTTAAAGATAAACGAGGAGGGTAAGGCAAATACGGATATAGTGAGGCAACAGCTATTTCAAAAAAAGTTGGTGAAAGTTTTGTTGCACGATGCATAACAAGTTCGAAATATGGGCGATGTGAATGTAACAACACTTTGTCTGTACGATTTTCCGGACATTTTCTTCGGCGCTGATATTCTTAATGTATGAATATACATTTCAAGCTAGGTAAACAACATGCAAAATGCAACATGAAACAAAACCTTCACCAAACGTTATTGAAAATAGAAATAGCTGTAGTCAAGTAACAACTATAACGATTAAAGCTAGCCCCCTTGATGTACATTAGTATTTTGATGGTCGATATTTAGCACACCCGGCAGGCATAGCCTTTCATAAAACGCTTTCAATTCGTTTAAAACATCATGGAAAACGCCTACAAATGTTCTCCGGATATTGTTTTAGTGAAGACAGCAAAAAAGGAGACTTGATCCTTGCCTTCAGTTATCCGTTTTCTATTATTTAGGTGGGGATCAAAGTCAGAGACACGATTTCGAATGAAAACGAAACTTAGTGTGGACGGTTGGAAAAGGTGACTGGATGGACGTAAAGCACATCCGTCGTGAAGATTCTCACACTAAATAGACAAGACATCTTACCAGTAGGTCACCACCACAGACTTGTTTCAGATTATCAGGCATCACAATGAATAAATTAACAAGTTGATGAAGTGTTTCAAACAGGGACACCAACAGGGGCACCTATTATAGAAATATAACATCATAACATCAAAAATGTCGCGCAACTCCAAACCACGTTTCATTCCCACTAGGACAAGCCTGTGACTCTTAATTATTTTTTCTCGAGCGCTACAACGTCTTACCAATAATAATAACCAAGAGAATAAGAGGTAGTTCAGTGAAGAAACATTACGCCCCAAGTGAATACGTCCTGTTGCATCATTTCTTCAGTTTCCCATCTGCTCCAATTTATTTGATATCATATTTATCAATATCTATCATAACCCTTATCTTGATGTTACATACCTTGAATTCTTTCATACACTTTCGGTATTCATTGATGTCACAAATAGCACGCATCCCACCTGATGAATAACAAATTCTATTAGCCTAATTGGGACAATTACCAAAACCATTCTGGATAAACTACAATACTACAATTATAAATTATATAAACCACCATCGCCTAAATAAACAATGAGCAAGTGAAGACTGTGGAATAAGCAATTTATTTTTGCCTAAACTGTTATGAGAATTATTAATATCAAAAGTAAGCTTTGTGAGCTAGATGGAGATAAATAATCGATTACATTGAAGAAATACATAGTAAAAGACTGAAAGTAAGACGCCTTGAACCACACCAGGCAAGGCTACTGTTACATTTTCCTTTACAGTGAACGGTGATCCAAATACTGTACTTCACTTGATACACCTTGGAGTTCTCAAGAACATCCATAGGATTTTCCGGTTTTCCTATTCAGATTCGATCTCTGTCGAAAGCTAGGGAGACCGAGCAATCGCTCTGCAATCGACATAAAACTCTATTACATTTTGCCATTCTCGCCATATAGTTGGCTGGTTACCTCATAAATCGTTAATAATGGTAATTGAACTGAGTGGAGTGCAATTTGGTCTGAAATCAAACGCGCGATTACAAAATCGCACGACCGCGTAGCGGGAGTGCGATTTGTAATTGCAAGTTTGATTTCAGACCAAAATTGCACGACACGAAGTTCAATTACCACTTTATTATATCCATTTTGAAATCTTTTTTCAAAAAGACGTTTTTTTCCAGTTAAACCGATATGACTTACAATCTACAAGCAGTCGATTCAAACATGCTGTCAAGAGAACTTGTTTATACTGATCGAGCAATGATTCTCATTTTGAAAACCAACACTTTCAATCCAAAACTAAAATGAATTTATATAGGACCAAAAGGCATTACATGTATTAAGAATCGTTTACTTACATTAAATAGCAAAACAATACTGCCCAAAAGGGTTGTAATGAACTGGCTGTTGTCCATACAGCCAATGCTCACTGCTTGTGTTTTTATGATTTCTGTTCAACATGTTAAGATCACATTTGTGCCGAGAAAACAGCAAAAATCAAAGGTTGTTTAGTCCTTCGGTTGTCCTTAAGAAGTCACGTAGCTCAGCAAAAATCTTCTTCTTAAGAAAAACTTCTTTTAATGACTGTATTTTCGATGTGTTGTTGCGCTTTACAGATTGAAAGGAAACCACTTTCCACGATCAATCGCCAAGAAGTCACATTCAAAAGATGCCGATTGCATTTTCCCCCACTGCTTTTCGCTGTAATATCTTCAACTTACTTAAGCAGTTACTTTACAAAGATGCTTTTGACAATTTTAAGTGGTCAGTTCAGTTGGTCTTTTTAAGTCCTTTTTATGGCTTTTTCAGTCTTTTTTTACGACTTTTGACGGTAAAATCGTTCTTCAGAAACTTTGTTTTGAGCCGTGTCTCTTTTTTTCGCAAGAAGCGTTGAGCCCAACACTCAGATGGATTCCTTGATATAATTGGCTAGAAAATGACATGTCTCTCTTGTGATTGGTTCATATCAGTTGATGTGCAAAATCGTGCAATTTAGAGCTCAAAATCGTGCGATTTATGCTGAAATCACTGCTGCCGGGAACCAATCAGATTGCAGGATTTGCTTGTGATTTCAAAATGGATGTAATAAATGAGATAATAGGCCCTTTGCAGCTAAGCAATTATGTGAAAATGTGCTGATTAATTCAATGAGAGCAAATGAATGAACATTTTGATTCCTATGGGTGAAATTTACTGGAGAACAAACAGACTTTCTACAACCTGTTTTGCGAGATCGTAATAAAAATGCATTTCGTAACACTGGACACACATCTTTTTATACACCCTTCTCATAATGGCTGATGACCGCACGGAAACGAGGTCACCCAGTCATCTTGCAAGGTTGAGCCAAGCTGCTCATTCAAAATAAAGGCTGTTAGCGCTAATTCAGATCAAAACAAAGGTCATTTTTTTATACTTTTCTTCTTTAAAGTCATTTCATGTMATTTTATATCGATCTTTTATTGTGAAATAATGACTGGGTGACCTCGTTTTCGTGCACTTGTCAGCCATTATGAGAAGGGTGTATTCAGTTCTTTACAAGTAGCTAAAAAGAATCACCAATTTAATATAAAAACATAAATTTTGCCCTCCAGTACAGACAAGTGACCGTTAACTGCAAAGGGCCTACTACATCATGTATTGTGATATTCTGGCCCAATGACATTTTGACCTACCGTCAGAGCTAAAGGTGAATTGTTGCAGATGCTCAAACAACAGCCGATGAATTCTTGTTCCAAATTCAGTAAGAACTGCTTCCAAATTCTTACCATCCAATGCTTCACGAATTCGTTCGTGTTGTGAGCAAATAAACTTACAGCTTTTTGCACATGCCTAACATGGTATGCAAGGAATTCCAAAATATCAGTGAAATCAGTAAAAAAAAAAAAAATGAAAGGAAAAAAGGAAGGAAGGACCGAATAGGATAATGAGTAGACTATAAATGAGATAAGGTCATTCTCACCGGTGTACACCTAAAGTAATTGTCATTCGGCCCAGACTCTTCAGGTTTAAAATCAGTTTTCTTCTGCTCTGAGTTTAAAATATATCTGACGTATCCAACAAGAGATGTAAGAACTCTGTGAGCAAATAAAAGATAATTTTAGGTACTCGATGCCTGTGTCTTGTACAGTACCTGTCAATGCCTGTGTCTAGTACAGTACCTGTCAGTGCCTGTGTCTAGTACAGTACTTGTCAATGCCTGTGTCTAGTACAGTACCTGTCAATGCCTGTGTCTAGTACAGTACCTGTCAATGCCTGTGTCTAGTACAGTACAGTACCCTCCAAGGCCTGTGCCTAGTATAGTAACTGTCAATGCCTGTGCCTAGTATAGTAACTGTCAATGCCTGTGCCTAGTATAGTAACTGTCAATGCCTGTGCCTAGTATAGTAACTGTCAATGCCTGTGTCTAGTACAGTACCTGTCAATGCCTGTGTCTAGTACAGTATCTGTCAATGCCTGTGTCTAGTACAGTACAGTACCCTCCAAGGCCTGTGCCTAGTATAGTAACTGTCAATGCCTGTGTCTAGTATAGTAACTGTCAATGCCTGTGTCTAGTATAGTAACTGTCAATGCCTGTGTCTAGTA